CTTTCCTCTCATGTAAGTGCTTCAGGATTGATTCCTTGAGGACCTGCTCCATGATTTTTCCGGGGACTGAAGTGAGGCTGACTGGCCTGTAGTTCCCAGGATTCTTCTTCTTCCCTTTTTTAAAGATTGGCACTACATTAGCCTTTTTCCAGTCATCCGGGACTTCCCCTGTTTGCCACGAGTTTTCAAAGATAAAGGCCAATGGCTCTGCAATCACAGCCGCCAGTTCCTTTAGCACTCTCGGATGCAACTCGTCCGGCCCCATGGACTTGTGCACGTCCAGCTTTTATAAATAGTCCCGAACCACCTCTTTCTCCACAGAGGGCTGGCCATCTATTCCCCATGTTGTGATGCCCAGCGCAGCAGTCTGGGAGCTGACCTTGTTCGTGAAGACAGAGGCAAAAAAAGCATTGACTAATCTAATCGCCGTCTATGATGAGATTACTGGTTCTGTGGATGAAGGGAAAGCAGTGGATGTATTGTATCTTGAATTTAGCAAAGCTTTTGACACCGTCTCCCACAGTATTCTTGTCAGCAAGTTAAAGAAGTATGGGCTGGATGATTGCACTATAAGGTGGGTAGAAAGTTGGCTAGATCGTCGGGCTCAACGGGTAGTGATCAATGGCTCCGTGTCTAGTTGGCAGCCGGTGTCAAGTGGAGTGCCCCAGGGGTCGGTCCTGGGGCCGGTTTTGTTCAATATCTTCATAAATGATCTGGAGGATGGTGTGGATTGCACTCTCAGCAAATTTGCGGATGATACTAAACTGGGAGGAGTGGTAGACATGCTGGAGGGCAGGGATAGGATACAGAGGGACCTAGACAAATTGGAGGATTGGGCCAAAAGAAATCTGATGAGGTTCAATAAGGATAAGTGCAGGGTCCTGCACTTAGGACGGAAGAACCCAATGCACAGCTACAGACTAGGGACCGAATGGCTAGGCATCAGTTCTGCGGAAAAGGACATAGGGGTGACAGTGGACGAGAAGCTGGATATGAGTCAGCAGTGTGCCCTTGTTGCCAAGAAGGCCAATGGCATTTTGGGATGTATAAGTAGGGGCATAGCGAGCAGATCGAGGGACGTGATCGTCCCCCTCTATTCGACATTGGTGAGGCCTCATCTGGAGTACTGTGTCCAGTTTTGGGGCCCACACTACAAGAAGGATGTGGATAAATTGGAAAGAGTCCAGCGAAGGGCAACAAAAATGATTAGGGGTCTGGAACACATGACTTATGAGGAGAGGCTGAGGGAACTGGGATTGTTTAGTCTGCGGAAAAGAAGAATGAGGGGGGATTTGATAGCTGCTTTCAACTACCTGAGAGGTGGTTCCAGAGAGGATGGTTCTAGACTATTCTCAGTGGTGGAAGAGGACAGGACAAAGAGTAATGGTCTCAAGTTGCAGTGGGGGTGGTTTAGGTTGGATATTAGGAAAAACTTTCACTAGGAGGGTGGTGAAACACTGGAATGCGTTGCCTAGGGAGGTGGTAGAATCTCCTTCCTTAGAAGTTTTTAAGGTCAGGCTTGACAAAGCCCTGGCTGGGATGATTTAATTGGGGATTGCTTTTGAGCGGGGGTTGGACTAGATGACCTCCTGAGGTCCCTTCCAACCCTGATATTCTATGATTCTATGAAACTTCTGCAGTTTCCACAGTATGCATCCGATGAAGTGAGCTGTAGCTCACGAAAGCTTATGTTCAAATAAATTGGTTAGTCTCTAAGGTGCCACAAGTACTCCTTTTGTTTTTCTCTTAGCACAGGCTCTCGACCATGTGGAGGGGAATCTGCTGGGTCCAGGTAGGGAGGCAAGACGGTGCCTTGGAAGGTGCTAAGCCTCCTTCCCCATGGAAGAGAAGGAGCCACATATGAAGGACTCCTCCATGACCAGGTCTACTGAAGTACAATATAGCATATAACTGGGAAATCTTTGAGGAGTGTTTAAACTGTCAAATTCTCTGAACCCTCTTTCTGGTTCTGCTGTTTTATATCATACTTTGCTATTGACTTTCATTTCAGTAATGCATAAAGATAGAGTTAATAAGTGAAGTGTGAGAGGTGAAGGTAACTTGACATATTTAAGTAAAAATACTTTACATATTCCCAGATGTATCTAAAGCAACACAGATTCACAGGGGAAAAAATGGCATTGCTCATATCAGAGTTCACATCTCCTACTATAATGGCTCCTCTGCATTTTCTGGTAACCTCAGATTGTTTGCCGATGGGAAGCAGTTACTTTTTAAAATTATGATTCTACCAAAGCTTTCTCACAACACAACTGAATAGTGTAGAGGAGAAGTTCAGTAAAGAAGATTTAGATGGATCTGAGGATAACCTTCTGGCAGAACTATTCTTCCTGACATTTAGCGGTCAGTTTGTTATATGCTGTGGTATTTTATTTTATACCAAACTTGAAAGGATTTTGCAGACATCCTGTGTTACTGTGGCTTTATTCTTCTTTTTTCTCTTTGTTTGTAGACTGTCTTTAACAATATTTGGTTCTTGTTTTCTGATTTTATAGATGCAGTCCAAAGTGATCTGTGGACTTCACCAGGGCTAATGATTGTTCATATTGCATATTTTTTCTGTTAACTCTTTTTACTCATCAGTCTCTATAAATAAGATGTTATTGGTGATAAACTTTGAAAATTAATAAAAATGATAAAGAAAAATTTAAAATAATAAAATTGCATGTGTGTGGTATAGGGAATGTCAGGTTTTACCTTACAAAAAGAGACCCATTTATACTGGCAAAATAACAGCTTAAAGCATAGTCTCAGTACAGGAACAAATTGATGTACATTACTTATCATTTTGTGGTAGCCCTTAAGCGACTCCCTCTAAAATTCTCTCTCAATCAATATTGAAAAAATAGTCAAACTTCAGTTTTTACCTCATTTGTAATGTTTTGTGAATAATTTCCAGCTTGTGAAATATACATCAAGACTTTTCAAGATCCTGACAATATCTAGATCTTTTAAAAATGACCCAGTTTATTAAGGAAAAACATTGCATCTGACATTGATGGTTAAGACAATAAAAGAAAAAATAAATAAATACAAAAACAGTGGGATATTTATGCACAATGAAAAAAGGAATATTGCACAAAAGAGAGTGAAGTTGCCATGTTCAGTTGAGACCCGTAAAGTAAGAAAAACAGAAGTAGCTGGCAGGGCATTTTCCATAAGTGCCCCTCAACTGCAGAGATCTCGCCTCCCTTTCTGTTGACTGTTATGGCAAGTTGCAAAAAATATTTGCTCTCCCTAGATTTTGAAGAGAGAGGACAATTATGAGAGTGACTAGTTGTAGAAGAGGTAAAACTTTATTTTACGTTTGATTTTGTCTAGCGATTGCTGTCTGGGGAAAAGGTGGAATTCTAGAACTGTGGTAACAGTGAAGGGAGTTGTTTATAGTATTTATAAGCGATGGTAAGTGTGCTTATGGGGATGTGGATGGGTGCTCTTATAGATTGTGAAGTAAATATATAATGGGTAAATTGTTGCATATATTGTGGTTGTCAGGAAATTGTTCACATGGCAAAGAAAAACAGTTTTCTCACTGATTAGGCTGAAAGATTAGGACTCATTTGCAGAAGTTGGCTGCATTTCAGTGGTGGTGGTTACCCCTTTTTTTGTATAGCGATAAAGATGTAGTAAAGGACCAAAATATGCCCTTCTGTGTAAAGAAGGTGAACCAGGAAAAGTTAACTTAAATTCTTCTTGCATTAGGCTCGCAGGGCTTGATTCTCTTATAGGCTGGAGCAGAGCTTCAGTGGAGGCGTGTGGGGTTGTGTGTCAGCAAGCTGGTTTTGGCTCAAGGAATCTCAGTGCTGGCCTCACCCTTCATGCAATTAGAGGTGCTTTCTGATGGTTCTAACTTGTGCATTGACACAGGGTGCTTAACAGATCTTACACCAGTGGAGGATTCCTATGGCAGGTCTGAGATAACCTGCCACAGACATGCCCCCTCCGCCAGGAGTGTGAGTGGAACATAGTCACAGGGCTCATCTACAGCAGAGGTACACCAGCCAGAACTTTCCCTATGCCATAGGAATTCTCTGCTGAGCATTTGCAGCTGGACTATGGCCCCTTTGTGTCATTCAGAATTTCTGGCTAATTGTCCACTCACAGGGGAGGGTGGCTTCTCACTTGCACCAGCCCATTGCCCCAGCCTCATGGATATAAGGAAAACCACAGGAAATACAGAACTCATTGGGTCCAATCGCAGCAGTGCCATCTCAGTGGCCATGTGCCATTGTTTTAGTGGGTCTCTCAGAGCATAGAGTGGAAGGTAGTGTTGCTCCAAGAATCATTAATTTCTATAACATTTAGTGGTAGAAAATTCACAGGGTAGGTGGAGGAACATGCCACATGGTCTCTCTATCTGATCCGCTGCCAGCCTGACATATATCCCTTAAACTGTGGGGGCTCAACATATTTTGTTTGTTCCCAGGTTTGCGGAGGGGCAGGAAGAAAAATCCTATATGGAACTGCCCCATCCCTCCAGTGTACACTGGCCACCTCCACTGGCACTTGCATGTGTGTGCTCCCTTCTGCCCCTCACTACGCTGCACAAAGATTTCTTTTGGGCCACAGTCTATATAGATGAGAGAAGATGCTTTAATACTGTTTTCAAGTTCAGTAGTGAATGCTGTTGGTTTGGGGAACAAACAGTGATAGCAGTCAGTGTACCGTCCCAGCCTCTTCCTGCAGAAGAATGTATAATGGGATCAGCATAAAGCATCCTGGATACATTTAAATAAATGTCCTGATTTATGCAAGATTATCACTAACAGCTTTCCAGTGCTTAAGTCATACAGCTAAAAGTTCTAGATTCTCCATTTACCAGCTCTCTGTTGGACAGCTTCTCTTGTACACACCTACTATTGTTATGCAGGGCAAAATGTTCCAGTCACTTTTTTTTTAATTTGGCTTTTGAGAAACAAGACAGACAATGAGATGGTCTCCTGATGATATCTGAAAATCACATAATTTATTCTCTATAGGCAAAGGACTTCCTGAGCCCCATTCTGATCTCGGTGACACTGTATTTACATCACGGCACCTTCATTGATTTCAGTGGAGTTACTCCTGACTTAAACCAGTGTAAGTAAGTGTGCTCAGAATCTGGGTTCATAGATTTTTTTTCTTATAGTGGTCTCTTGGCTCTGTCAGTTCCTTTTTTAAGCCTGTTCTGTTGAATAGTGAAGAAGGCAACCCAATGCTCCATAGAAAGTACTTTTTGCTCCATAATTCTACTTTCGGAGAAAGTTTGATTGAAGAATAAGGACCTCATCCTGTCTGAATAACCTATAAAGTTCTCATTGACTTCAGTGGGAGCAGAATCACATTCACAGTCAGTAGGCTAAAAATAAATTATTTTATAAAATGCCACCCCCAGGTCCTGCTGGAATTCCCCTATGCTGAAAGAATCTCCAGCTGCTGCCTTAAAGCAGCTTTAAGTCTTCTTTGTGTTGCTGGAGTACCAGAAGGACAAGAGTTTGAGCCTATTGACTGCAGACATTGGCCCAGAGAGATGCTGAAAGCTTGTCAAGAAGGAAAAATGAAAACTGAATTATGATATACCTTCCAGTTGCTGCCTTTGAATTTAAACTAATGAAGCAAATTACTGTCAAATGGTTGGGGTTTTTCATTTTTGTTAAAGGACTTAAAATAATAGCAATGTAAAAATAGCCCAAGGAGGAAGGGAAAAGAGACCATTTAAATATTCTTATAATTTATGGAGATATAATAGGCCTATTATTATTATTATTATCACATTTAATTAACCAATTTTTAAACAGTAAATCGCTGACCGTTATCTCACAAAGACAGAGGCATAAACAGAAAACTTCAGTTTCACTTACCCTATTGGCTTTTCAGGTTGCTTTGGGGTCTAAATAAAATTTTAAAAGTATAACAAAGAACCTCCCCTTACAAACCAGCAACAACAACAAAAAAATCCCACCAGAAACAAACCCAAAACCAGCCCCTGAACAAAGCAAGTTTAATTTTCCTATGAGTGTGCATTTGATAATATCACTAGCTTATAAATGTCAGATTTGTGGCTGGTCCTTTTGTGGCCCTGCCAAATCATTCGGTCACCTGGGCGTTGCCGCTGGCTTCTGTTCACATGAATAGTCTGGGAAAAACTAAAGCATCAGAAAGTTCAATATTGCGACAAAAAGTGACAAACATCAATGGTATAGATTTGGCTTGAAAAACAGAAATGAAGGACCAACTGTCAAGAGCAAAAGAATGATTGCTGTGCGCATTCTGCATGCCCGTTCCATTATAAATTGGCTGACTTCGAAATGAATAATGATTTTTTTTGAATTCCACACAATTAACAGTTTCTCAGCTTTCAGAATAAACCTCTTTCTTCTTTTTTTATTAAGAATTTTATGGCAGAGAATATCGGTCCATTAAAAAAGAGGTAGCCAGCCTTGCTCTGCAGGTTGGCATTTTCATCTTGAAACAATTGCGATTTAATGAGCAAGAAAAGAGCACTTTGAGAGTCAGTGTTTATTTTTATGCAGTATGACTATCCTAGTGGTTGCAAGACAATGTTTTTAATGTACAATTTAAAATGTTTTATATCAAATTGAACTCTAAATGGACACATTTCATTAAATCTGCAAGACTTTCCTTCTAATCCCATTAAATTCCATTATAAAAATTACCAGCCTATAGCTTAAAGTATTAAAGTTGTATCTCTAATAGTTGTGCAGTTTTTTTTTTAATTCCAAGTCCAATTTAAAACAAAACATAGCTTGTCTTCCTGCTTTTAAGTCCCACATCTGTGTTAGAGAATTAGAATATTAGGATTGGGCCCAAGATTGCAAGCTTCCTGTCTACAGAAGGTTCTGTTACCAGCAGTCCTCATTATTTCATCCAGCAGAAAGAGGTACAAAGCCAAAATCACGTATAAGTGGAAAGTACCAGGAAGAGGGACTGATTTTTAAGGGCACTGTACAGAATGGGCTAAATCCAGCTCACCTGATTTATCTGAGTAATCCCACTAGTCATTTGGCCAAATCCTGATATCCCCTACTCAGCCAAAAATCCGTCTGAAGTCTATTAGAGTTTTGCTTAAGTAAGGGCATTGTATACATTAAGGACCCAATGGGGCCAGTCTCATGAGAAAGATGGAAGTTCAACACATTACCCAGCAGCACCCATTCTGATACACTGATACATATTTTGGTCAATTTAAAAAAATTACATCATGTCTATTTATTCTTTTATTTACAAAGACCAGAAATCAAGTTGTTTTTCAACAACAAAATAGTCCATACTATATTTGAAAATGAATTTTAAAATTCTTGTGAGTTGACTTATCCAAGTGGATAGTCACCATCTGGACTTCTCAATAAAAAATATGTATTGAGCAACAAGACAGAATTCTAAATACAAAGCTACAGGTGTGCAATCTCAAAAGTTTGTTAGATCACAATCATCTTTTGGTCAAAAAGCATTAAATTAAAATAATGTCATTTGTTCCTGGAGGTATGCCCAGTACTTATGCACTTTGCCAATCTTACTTGAGGTATGAAAGCTCCTTCTATCCAAACAAATGGGATGTCACAGTCCTATGCAAACCCATAGGTGACTGGGTATGTTATTGCTTTATTGTTTATACACTGAAGTGAGATAATGTGGTTTCATTCAAGAGACACTATCCAAATGTTAAACTCTCACAGTTGGCCTTTCTGAAAATGAAGTGTAAAATGTTCTCCAGATGTCCAAAATAACTATTAGAAAAATCCCCCAGTTCAGTGCTGAGATACTTTTGGCAATTTTTTTTTAAAACTATGTTGTGACTGAGATGCAAAGAATGTATTCCCTGTGGCCTCAGAGGGTACATCTACACTTTAATAAAACACCCACGGCTGGCCCATGCCAGCTGACTTCAGTTTGTGGGGCTCGGGCTAAGGGGTTATAAAATTGCAGTGTAGACATTCCAGTTCCAGAGGCTGGGCTCTAGCCCAAGCCTGAATGTCTACACTTCCATTTAAAACCCTGCAGCCTGAGCCCTGTTAGCCCAAGCCAGCTGACATGGGCAGCTGCAGGTGTTTTTTTGCAGTGTAGACATACCCATACATTTTAAGGCCAGTGGGGAATATAGGATCTTCTAGTCTGACCTTCTGTATATCTGTGTGTCTGTCTATGCAGGCAAGACCAAGACATGTTGTTACATAGAGCACTACTCTGCTATAATTAGAGCTGGGTGAATTTGTTTAGGCAAATAATAAGTAGTAAATGTTTCAACATTTCATCTTGAAATAGAGTTTCATTTAGAAATGTTGCTAATTTTGAAAAAGAGTGAAAAACACTCAAAATCGACCTGAAACAAAATGAAAAACCAGACAAAAAATTGTTTTGGTTTAAACTGAATCAAACAAATTATTTTTTGAATTTTTCATTTTGGTGAGAAACTGAAATTTTTTTGTTTAAGTTCGAATCAATCCAATCCCCCCCCTTGAATTTTTTGGTTTGACCCCCCCCCAAAAAAACAAAACAAAAAAAAAATCAAGTATTTGCTCAATTGTAGTTCTAATACAATACTCCAATACAGTAATATTGCATGCTTCCTGGACTATTTATAAGGTATTGGAACTGACCCAACTGACTTCAGGGTGTTACTGTGAGAGCTGAAGTGCATCAGTTCATCTGGTGGCATGCTACATGCACCACAAGCTTGGAGACAAGTGCTGAAGGAGCTCCAGCCACTACGCTCCACAGACTCTTGGTGGGTTCCCATGAACGGTCACACAGTCCTAGTACATAAAATACAATTCTTTACTTGGGCTGGTAGGAAAGAGAAGGTGCAAATGTCCTAGCTACAAGTCTTAGAGGTTAGAGAAGATCAAAGTAGTAGATCTAATTCAGCCACTAGAGGGCAATCCAATAGATGGGTACAAGAGTAACTGTGTCCTATAGAGTATTTCTTAGTCTAATTCCTGGGATACCACTCCATCTCATCACGTGAGGGTAATTTAAGTACTGATCTCTAGATACCCCCAGCCAGAATTCAGTCCTGTGGTCTATTCTGTCATCCACCAGTATGTGGCCTTCTTGCTTACAGATTGTTCCTGTATTCTGGTATTGGTGTTTTCTTAATTTATGATACAGGTTACTGTGAATGAATATGGCTAGTCTTTATGTACGGAAAACATAACAACATGTTATCCAATCAGCGAACAGAAAAAATACCACCTGTCAATAATTAACCAACACAGCATGAATTGCAAATATCCCAAATGAAATGTTTGTGAATGATCTGCAGGCAAACAAACAAAAAAACAACCCACCCTTCACCACAAAAAAAAAAAATCATGGAAGAATTTATGAATATTTTGAAGTAAAACCGTAATGTGCATATTTTATGGTCTGTTTTCAGACAATCTGCATAGAGGGTATAGGATGACATTCTTAACAAAATTATTTGTTGTGAATTACTTGCCCAGCTCTGTCCAAGACTGGTGAGGGCATGAAGAATTACTTATCAGCACAATGCTTTTCAGATGTGTTGGGATTCCATGTGCACCTTAAAATGTATTAATGCCTTGAATGGTTTTACTCCTCAACACTGTCCAGGACAGTACACTTTTTCTTTTAGATCCTCTCTGGCAAGCTGGGACCTGCACAACCACAACATATGACTATAACTGGATTCAAAAAAGAACTAGATAAATTCATGGAGGATAGGTCTATCAATGGCTATTAGCCAGGATGGGCAGGGATGGTGTCCCTAGCCTCTGTTTGCCAGAAGCTGGGAATGAGTGAAAGGGAATAGATCACTTGATGATTACCTGTTCATTCCCTCTGGGGCACTTGGCATTGGCCACTGTCAGAAGACAGGATACTGGGCTAGATGGACCTTTGGTCTGACCCAGTATGGCCGTTCTTATGAAAAAAAAATCTAACTTGGCAATGAACAGAAAGCTATACACTGTTTAATTCAATTCTGAATGTTAATGCTTTGTATAATGTGTAATGTTTAAGATTTTGGCATGGGGCTTTTTTTAAAACCAGAGGCAGGACCTGGGCAATAAACAATAAATCATGGGAGCCCCAGCCCTGTGGCATGGGGCTGACTGTCTGAGCCCCATTGCAGCGTGGGGGACTGACTGCCTGAGCCAGAGCCCTACTGTTGAGTGCGGCTGAGGCTGAAGCCAGAAGTCACTAAGGTCTGTTAAAGTCACAGAATCTGTGATTTCCATGACAAAATTGTATCCTTAATAATATGGTTATACTGCTACCACCATTCTTGGCTTTTTTTTTCTTTCTGTGTTTTTCACAGAACCCTCCTCCTTGGCAATGAGATGGTTGTGCTTCAACGTGTCTTCCCTGTACTAAACCAGGATGAATTTCAAATGTAGTGAAGAGGACCAAAGCAAACCTCATCACTCCACTTTGGACCTACATAAGCCTGAGTTCAATCAAGCACATAACCATGTACTTTACTTTCAGCATAGGAGTAGCTCCATTGACTTCAGGTGTTACACATGTGCTTTGCTGGATTGGGGCTATATAATCTGTGGGAGGGGATCGCATAGACTCAGAGACTTTAAGGACAAAAGATTCCATCATGATAATCTCGTTTTACCTTCTGCAAATTGCAGGCCACAGAACCTCACCCGCCTACTCTTGTAATACACCCATAACCTCCGGCTGAGTTACTGAAGTCCTCAAATCATGATTTAAAGACTTCAAGTTACAGAGAATCCACCATGTATGCTAGTTTAATCTTGCAAGTGACCCGTGTCCCATGCTGCAAAGGAAGGCCCAAAAAATCCCAGGCTCTCTGTCAATCTGACCTGGGGGAAAATTCCTTCCTGATCCCAGTGATCAGTTAGACCCTGAGCATGTGGGCAAGACCTACCAGCCAGACACCTGGGAAAGAATTATCTATAGTAAATCAGAGCCCCCCTCCAGCTCTCCCCTGACTCCTATCACTGGTAGTTGAGGATATTTGCTACTAGCAGTCACATACTGTATGCACCTCATGGAATGTTGCTGATGACTCTGATGGAGGTAGGCAAAGCAAGGATATGGATCCATATGTATGTGGATACAGTGGTCTTGGTGCTCCACTAACTGTTGTAGTGGGGATAGAATAGCAGTAATGAGTATGGGGTGGGGGTGGAGACCACTGTTCCCCCTAAGCTGTGCTCATGTGCGCGTGCACACAGATCCTAAACCCTGCGTGCACAAAAATTTGCACAGAAACACAATAATTTGCACAGAAGAAATTTTTTGCATACACGGCCTGTAAAAAATTAGAGGGAACATTGTGGAGACCCCACAGTCTGGTCCTAGATCAAAGGAGGATTTCACCTTCCCAGACCCTCCATACTCCATCCACAAAGAGCTCAAGTTATTTCAGTTTTATGCCAGAGAAGGGAATTTCACCTTTAATAAATAAACATATGTTATTTCAACAAATACATTGTATGTCCACTGGATTCAAGGATTATTTATAAATGTGCTTATTTGTTGTAGGAGTGAGATTACAACGCAGCAATACACTATTAATAATCGTTATTATAAAACCTTTATGTAGTGCTGTAAAGTTATATGGTGCTCTCTCCAGGTCCAAAGAATTTGCATATGTGCTTATAATTGCCTTTCTTGACAAAACCCTCAGGGCAGGTGCTGTTCAAAGAAAGTTTGTTTGTTTTTTAAAGAGTTTAAGGAAGGCTGATTGAAATGCTTATGGAAAGACGAATGTGCTGATATTACTAAGTTTAAAATGAACAAAGGGAGGCAAATTAGATGGTATTGGGCAGAGAAGGCCAATTCCCCAGGGGTATAATTAATAAAGGCCTTGATAATTTCCTGTTTCCAATCTGAATTTAGGGATATTTAGTAAATGAATACTAGAGGGCCACAAAATATGAGGTGGAACATAAGGAGAATAAAGATCAGTTAAATAAGTGTGGCTATAACCATGAAGGACCTTGTAGGTTAAGGCAATCTTTTTTTACATCATTTGGGATTTTATGGGAAATCAGTGTAATGGTTCACAAGAAATGGGTGAAATATGATAATACTTTGTGTTGGTAACTAACCTTGTCTCGGCATTTTGAACCATTTAATATTTTTTTTCAGGACAAGTTCAGGTACACCATCTGGTATGGGTGATAATCAGTACATGAGGTGACAAAAGCATGAACAAGTAAAGTCAGCAGGAGAAGGCAAGGATTCCAGTCAGGTAATATTTCTCAGATGACAAAAAATGATATTTTTCCTCTCTGATTCCAGTGCAGCTCAGACAACAGTTGGGAATTCAAGGTGACACTGAGTCTTTCTTAGTAAATGCTGAGGCTGTAACTGGAAATTAGGCTAGGAGTGTGTCATCAAGCCTTTGAGTAGAGGCTACACAGACTCAGCTTTAAAATCTGTATCCCATTTTTAAAAAACATTGTTTTTTTGAGCAAGAGAAGCATTGAGCACTGGCACAGTCTGGGGGCATGACTTCATAGGATCTTTCCTAGAGCTTTGCAATTAATTGTGCTGTATCACCCCTCTCCAGAAGTTTCGTAGCTCTTTGCATAAATACTTTACATGAAAAAGTATTACTCTAGTGTTGCTACATTTCAGAAAGAAGTGGCAGGGAAACAGTGGCAACATAGTCTATGCTTGCATGGTAAGATGTGTGCTAGGCAACTTATAAATGCTTAATATACTACTGATGATAGATAATCTCATTTACAGTATCTTGCAAAACCAAAGCAAACCAGACACCAAAAGCAGTAATGCAGATGTGTGTGTGTTTGTTTTTATTAACAGATTTCTGCCTGCAAATCATGTTTCTTTCCAAGATATAGAATTAATATCCAGATTATGATCAATATTCTTGGTGTTAGAATAAAACTTCATGTTAGAATAAAACTTAGGGATTCAGTATGCATCTGTAAGTAACTAAAATAAATTGATGCTGGTACTTTTTGCTTTATCTGCATGTCCTGAAATGAGTCAAATTCTGATTACAACTCATTAATCTCACTTCTTCTTTCTTTCTGGATCTCCAGAAGCCCATCATTTCTATTCAGCTGCAGTTTTGCATTAGTAAACACTGGATGAGCCAGTAGAAAATGAGGTTCTGCTCTGAAAAGTGGCTCTGTAAAAACAGTATAGAGTGCATTCTACATTTATTGCCTCCAAAGTGATTTCCATACTAATGTGCTCTGTTTTCAAATGAAATATGTTTTTTCTGACGGCCTGTCCTGCAAACTCAACCAGGGATTTGAGATATGTGACTGATTGGAATTTAGTAAATCAATGTGTTTGATACTATAAAAGGAAGAACAAAATCCACCTAATTCTTTCATAGTTTGCTCCATGTGGCTAATGGAAGTAAAAAAGAAATATAAACTTATTTATGTCAATGGGATAAGTAGATACGACTCTGAATATTAACAGGGAACAGGCCTGTGGAGTACAAAGGAGATATTTTTACATTGTAATTTTTAAGTGTAATACCTATGGTAGTTATGTTTAGACTTAACATTTCATTTTAAATTGATACTGAATGGCAAATTAGGTGGCGGTTTGTATGAAAAGGAAGCTACATGCTGTATTTTTTAAAAAATCTGAATTCTCCCATTTCCTTTAGTAACTGATCAGATCTAGGTGTGTCAATGAAGTGGAAGACCTGAAATACAAAGAGAAAGCATGTTCTTGTAATATGTCAGGCCGATTGGAACCTGGAAATATCTGGTCTTGTGATGTTTCTAGCCCTATTTTGAAGACTTAAGAAGTTGGAAGTTTTCAGATGTGGTTTGAAAAGAAACTTTGCATGCTTAAAGAAAAGGAGTACTTGTGGCACCTTAGAGACTAACCAATTTATTTGAGCATGAGCTTTCGTGAGCTACAGCTCACTTCATCGGATGCATACTGTGGAAACTGCAGAAGACATTATATACACAAAGACCATGAAACAATACCTCCTCCCACCCCACTCTTCTGCTGGTAATAGCTTATCTAAAGTGATCATCAAGTTGGGCCATTTCCAGCACAAATTCAGGTTTTCTCACCCTCCGCCAGCCCCCCCCCCCACAAACTCACTCTCCTGCTGGTAATAGCCCATCCAAAGTGACCACTCTCTTTAAAATGTGTATGATAATCAAGGTGGGCCATTTCCAGCACAAATCCAGGTTTTCTCACCCCCCCCCCCCAACACACAAACTCACTCTCCTGCTGGCAATAGCTCATCCAAACTGACCACTCTCCTTACAATGTGCATGATAATCAAGGTGGGCCATTTCCAGCATAAATCCAAGTTTAACCAGAACGTTGGGGGGTAGAAAAAAACAAGGGGAAATAGGCTATTACCAGCAGGAGAGTGAGTTTGTGTGTGTGGTTTTTGGAGGGGGGTGAGGGGGTGAGAAAACCTGGATTTGTGCTGGAAATGGCCCACCTTGATTATCATACACATTTTAAAGAGAGTGGTCACTTTGGATGGGCTATTACCAGCAGGAGAGTGAGTTTGTGGGGGGGTGGGGGGGTGGCGGAGGGTGAGAAAACCTGAATTTGTGCTGGAAATGGCCCAACTTGATGATCACTTTAGATAAGCTATTACCAGCAGGAGAGTGGGGTGGGAGGAGGTATTGTTTCATGGTCTCTGTGTATATAATGTCTTCTGCAGTTTCCACAGTATGCATCCGATGAAGTGAGCTATAGCTCACGAAAGCTCATGCTCAAATAAATTGGTTAGTCTCTAAGGTGCCACAAGTACTCCTTTTCTTTTTGCGAATACAGACTAACACGGCTGTTACTCTGAAACCTGTAATTTTGCATGCTTAGCCACTTAAAATCTTTTTGATATTGACTCAGAACGGAGCCTGAGTCTGCAGTCATCATTATTGCTTATTTATTTCTTACACAGCACTATCAGTATAAGACATGTAAGACGATAGAAACAGTTGGCCTGTTCTTGGCTGTCCTGCAGTCACTTTGCACCAGCCAGTATAGATGGTTGCCAGACAACTTCATCCCGCAATCCCCTCAGGGAATAGCCCCATCACAGAAAGCCTTCCCCACAATGGGCATCTCAGGAACAGTGAGATACATTCTGGAATCAAAGAGGATGTGGTCATGGCTCTCATATGCTTACAACTCCTCCTCTGCCACAAAACCCATAAGAGCTATGGGCAGTCAGGCACATGTTAAGATAGCCCAGCATTCCAAGGATTAGCAGGGAACAAGCTGCTCCACCCTGTTCCCCAACCCCTTTATTGGAACTCTACACTGATGCAGGGAAACATTCCATCCTATGTCCCTGTTCTAAAGATCTGGCAAGCTAAATAATATTTCAATGGGAGTTCTATCAGAGGAAGGCCTGCAAGCTCTGACCCACTGTATAGTACACTCCGTACTATGGAACATGTAACACACATACTGGCATGCTATAATGTATGAGGGACTTCTGAGTAAACAATAAAATACTGGTAAGTCTATCTCTAATAATAATGTGTTCTCCCAACCTGCCAGTCCCTGTAAAAATATAGCCAGGAATGGTGAAACTTGCTTTGACTATGTGCTACCCCTTAAATGATTCATCTTATGTGCACCAGCAGTTTATTTATCAAATTAATTAGTTTCCTAAGTAAAGTATAAAATGCACCTAATCATAAAAAACATGGGCACATGAATAAAATCCAGAAGGAAACACACCCCCTGCATCTTTAAACAGAAGAGACCTTCTCCCCCAAATAAATTTCTCATCCAAACAGTACTCCCACCACTCAAGCAAAAGCCTGCAAGAAGAAAGTGGACATGCCATCATGTCCCAGTTGCTGTTGCCATTTAACTGTCTTTCTGTCATTTGCTGCTATTTATATTTCATGGATAACAAGACCAGACAGAAGTGCATGGACACTGATTATATAGACTGTATAAGCACTTAAAATAGGGGGAAAGCTCAGTTTTTGTCATTACTGGTATCTTAATTCTGTCTTGTAAATCTTCATTGTAAATCTGTATTGGAGAGTCAGGGTGCACAGGCTTCTCATCCCCATGCAGCGGAGCTCAGTACTGTTCCCTGGATGGTCAGGATGGCATGGAAGCTGGCACGGAAGAGCTCCACAGCTGCTCTGTAGTCAGATCCTATTTATCATGCCTCTGCATCCTGATCCCTTAATCTCTGTTGTGCAGAGGGACTATTGTAATCTCACTGGAGAAATCTTTGGGGATGGAAGAAAACAGCTGGAGGGTTTGGACATTTGGAAGAGCTGCACAATGCAGTGTTGTGCCCTGATGTCATAGAGCCGTTCGTGAGAGAGCAGAGCAGAGCGGAGCCGTTTGTGAGACAGCGGAGCGGAGCCCTGTGGGGCAGTCAGCTTCAGGTTGCGTAAGGTGCCCCTTACTTCTTTCCCCCCACACAGGAACATTTTTAGCCAGACTGGGGAGTAACACTCTACAGATGAACTTTTGAACTCTGGGGCTGGACTTTTTGGAGTTTGGGTGATTTGTGGATTGCTGGACTCAAGAGACGTTTGGGTTCTGGGACTCAAGAACCCGAGGGAAAGGATGTGGCCCAATTTGCTGTGGTGGATCTTTGCTCATGGTTTGGTTAATGAACACTAGTTGTGGTGTTTCCCCAATTTAATGCTGATGTCGTTTACCTCATGTTATTAAAGATTCTCTGCTACACCGAGACTCTGTGCTTGCAAGAGGGAAGTATTGCCTCTTTAGGCGCCCAGGGGGTGTGTAAGATTTTCCCAGGTCACCGGGTGGGGGCTCGAGCCAGTTTTGCATTTGCTTTGATGAGAGGGAACCCCTGTGTACTGAACCCGGCCCTTGCTGCTATCAACTTGGCCTGGCAGAAGGGTTACAGTTACGAAGGGTGTAGGGAGAAGAGCAGCTAAGGACCAGTGGGGTGACGCCTACCCAGATATGCAAGTGTGAATTCGGTCATGTGGGAATACACATATGTTATTAGTATCCATGTGTGCAAAGAGTATTTCTGCTCTAACGCTTCTAGGGAAGTGGAGAACTCTGCAGTTCAGAGGACGATGGATCACTTTCCACACAATTCTCCAGCTCTGGGCATGAAAGAGAAAAACTACAGCAATCGCAGAATGATTTTATTATGTCTTATTTTTAATACAAGTGCTTGGTATTAATTTAAAAAACATGGATCTTGGGGCAAAGCTTGAAGGATAATAAGAGGAAGGTGCTGCTGATTACAAACTCTGGTCTGCCTGTGTAGGAGAGAAAAATGCCGTGCTGAATACTTACCATTGATTTTGGACTCAAACTCCTTTAAGCTGCACCATTTTATCTGCCAGCTGCAGAGATAATGACAACAAAAAAAGAAGAACATTACACAGGGCATGAAGTGGGCCTATGTGGAAAAACCCAGCAAATTCCTTTGATAAAGGAATGCCATAGATCTTAGTAGCTTTACACGAGACAAATTAAAAGTGCACTTTTAATCTGAGACAAATTTGTACTATGAAACTGCTGTGGTGAAGTAAATGTTACATTATAAATGAATGATGTAGACAATGAATTATAAATGAATTACTCTGTTCAATTATAAAGAATTCATGTAGAGTATCACAGCTAGAAAGAAAAGAGGAGATTGCCCACCTTCTATTTTTAAGAGCTTTTCAGTTTTCCCAGGAGTAATGAAGTAAGTAGAGCACCTGAACCGCAAAAAGACGACTTTGTTTTATTGCACTGCTACTTTTTGTTCTTCATTCTCTGGAAAAAACTGCACTTACCAGCTCCCTGCACTTATCATTTATCAGAACCTACTCTGCAGTCCTCATCATAACATCCATGGGGTACAGTTAGAGCAGTCTTCGCAAACGCTAGTGGTGGCTATGGAGATGGAGTTTATCTTCCTTTGGAGGACTAGTTGCAAGCTGCTCTGGCCTTTTAGTCAGTCCTAGGCTAATGATTCGCAAGTAGCCCTATAAGGAGCATTAGGAATTTTTAAAACATGGTATCCCAGTCCTCAAATTTAATTTTTATATGAGCCAGAACTGCTTGACAAAATACATAGACTCAGTGTTCCCCCTTAGGAATTGATTTTGACTTCTTCCTTTAGAGGAAGCTTTCTTATCTGGCCAAGAGCATTGGCTTCCCCTTTATAGAGGGTGGATCAGTGAATCTCTGTGGTGATAGACCAAGCTCCTACTCAGCCTTAACTCCCATCTGTATGGTGTCATAGATTAAGTGCTCTCATAGAATCACAGAATATCAGAGTTAGAAAGGACCTCTGGAGGTCATCTAGTCCAACCCCCTGTCCAGAGCAGGACCAATCCCCAACTAAACCATGCTGTTTCATGCTGGGGTGCTCTCTATTACCTGTTCCTCTGTGGAGGGGAACCACAACAAAATTGCTTCCTTGTTCACAGGGGCTGGAGGGAACAACATGATTTTGGCCTATAGTTGAGAATCTACCAAACTAGGTAAGGGTAGTTAGTTCCTCATCTCCTACTTCTCCTCAATCACCCTCAATTGCTTCAAAATTGTTTCTAGAACCTTCTTGTTGTGCTTTGCTTTACTAATGTAAGTATATTATCAACACTGTAAAATGTTTGGTGTGAACTGCTCCAGAACTATATAAAGAGTTCACATTGAAATTGCAATTATTGCTGTATCTTGGACTTCAGTGAAGCTAAACTGATGTCCAGCAGCTAAGGATCTGGCCCTTAATTTACTATAGAATCACATCTGGAAACTCTTAACGAAGCTGAAAGAGACCCAATTAATGATTATGGAACTGGACATAGATGTATCAGTACTATTGCCACCTGAAAACAAACAGTAAGGAAAGGTTTAAGGTATAAATTCACAAAGTGTGCTTTCTGGGCCAGTCCACAGAGGACTTGCTGGCTGATCATGGAGAACTGGATGCTCACTCTTCTCCACCTTTCCAGTTCAAACAAAACAGGCAGAGACCACAGGAAGAGCAAAAATAGACAGTTGTGATTAACTTGTTTCAAAACACTTTGGGCTGCAGACAACTTAAATCAATACTCTCCTAATATTACTTTTCTATGTAAGATTGCTGTAGTTGCCACAGGGAAGTTATGCTATCATGAATGTGGTCCATACCTTCTTGAGGTCCATGAGATAATCTCTCCATTATTAGGTAGAGCACACTATATTCTAAGTTTTAAAGAATTACCACTTTGATACCCAGATATCAAGCTAAAATATTTGGAGATCAAATAGTTGTGGGAATACTAGGGGTTGTAAAATTGCCATGGTCTGCAGACTAAGGGGTTAGCATTGGCCCTGTTAGGCAGAAAGTGGGTGTCATTTTCCCACATAAATTGTCAGAAGGTTAAATCTTTATATAAGAAAAGTAACCTTGCAAATTTGCTCTCAAATACCATATCTGACAAACTGTGTATTGTATGGATAGTTCATGGCATGCAGGTTATATTGAAAGTGAAGAAAATTGCTACTCTTAAATTTTTCCAACAGCCATATGCTCTAAAAGAGTAAAAAAGCAGAAGAGCTTAGAAGGCTGGATAGTGTGAATGCTATACAGAATGTATATAATTCAGAAAAAAACTGCACCAGATAAATCAACCAGTAAACCAGATGAAACCTATTGCTCATGTGGTAATAATGTAATGATTGTCTCGGTCCTGGAAATACATCAGATGGGTGCATCCAAACCAGGAAAACCATTCATGAAACTGAATGGTGGACTAGTGTACCAGATAGAATTAACAAATGAAAGATCCAGAGTTTGTCACAATAAATACCCATTTAATTTTATATCACTGTATGAGACTACCATGTGGGATAGCTTTGGCAACAGATGTTTTCTTCACTGTTCTCCAAATATTTATGCAGTGTGTGTTAATCGCACCAATATTTAAGGAGTTGCTTTTGTTCCTGCAAATGATGGTATTTGAGACTAGCACTGAGCATGCACATACACTGTTTAGCATGGCAAGTGTAGTGAGTAATAATAGAACATGGAAGACCAGTGAATTCAGTTTATGGATTTGGAAGATACTATAGGAGGGCCTGGTAGCAATGCTAGTTACTAATATTGCCTGACACTTCCCATTATAAGACCTGTTTTCAGTTGCTTATAACTTTGCCAAACTCTAACTATTTGGGGCTGAGCATTTTACATGCTGTCTGTCTCAAGCTGAATAATTTTTGGAAAATTAAGGTTTTCCAACTCAGATTTTTCTGAGAATGGGGCCAGGTTAAAATACATTGTTTTACACATGTTAAAAAGTTCTAGTGACCTTTGGGGGGAAATTCTAGCTCCCCCATGCTTTGGAGAAAGGATTTGACATGGTGTGGCCTTTGTGTCAGGGATGTATTTTTCTTGCTCTGTGAAAATATGCCCAAACCTGGCCAAGTTATGAGTACTAGCAACCTTAATTTCAGCATTCCCTAACTTTAAGTGCTTGACTTTGCAACCTTAATAGTGTTGTTCCACAGTAGTATTTATCCATATAATAATAAATATTGCATATGATATAGGCCATTTAGCACAGCAGTTCCTCAACGCAATCATACCAGAGCCCTGGCATTGAGGCAATTAATAGAGCTGGTCTCAGATTTTCCAATGGAGGCATTTTCTATCAGAAAATGCTGATTTGTTAAAAGGAAATGAGCATTCGAATAAGGTTTTCAGCTTCTGGGAGTGGAATATTTTGTTTTACCATTTCAAAACAAATTTTCATTTTACTTTTTAAAATTGTATATAATATAAAATAAAGGATGAAATTCAAATTAAATTTCATTTAAAAAAATCAAATATTTTGATTGACCCAAAATGATTTTTTTCAGGAACTTTGTTTCAGAGACGGTTTCAAATTTTTTTGTTTTCATTCTATTTTGAAACAGCAAAACTGTCAAAACCATGACATTTTCCACAAAACAGAAAATCGATACATGGCTGTTCGTGTGCATGCATGTACAACTGGTGAAACTATAAAAAGAGAATGTTGGTTGTTCAGAACATTAAGTGTATGACGCATGTGTCTCTTTCAGTCAGGACAGAACCTATGTATTTTAAAACTAGGATCAGGTATTTAGACAAAAATAATGATTTCTTCTAAAAAAAGAGAAATAAAAAACCTTAAAATGTCCTAAAATTCTTTATATCTGATTTCCTCTTCTCTTTATCTCAATCTCTCCCCCGTTTGTTCCCAAAAATGTGTTCCACACTCTCTCTGAAGTGTCAAAGCCCAGATAAATTTTCCAGGCACTGCTTATATTTATTTTTATAGAAGTTAGGATATCCAATCAGGGAATACAAATAACACCATATGGCTTAGGTGCCCAGTCAAGTAGAGCAAATAGGAATAATGAATATCAATCTTTCAAATGAACATGTAGGCTAAAGAGTTTGCAAGAAAACAGTAGGCTGAAATTTATTGGCACAAAATATTATTCATACAATTTTAAACAAGCTAACACATAACTCATAATTATGTTTGGTTTCACAGGCAATTCTTTATGGCTAAATTTGATGGATACATAGCGTGAAGCCAATGAGCTGCAATGCTCGTGTTGGTCTGGATGACATTTGGCAGAAGAGCTCTCTGGACTGTCTAACCCTGCTCATTGTGCTATACAGGATAATTTGCTTTCACATATACAGTGATATTATGCTTCAGCTAGTCGTCATTGGAAAAA